CGAGAATAATTATGAATTTAACAACGATTACTGCCTGATGACATTTTCCCACATCTGCAAAGCTCACTGGAAGGACACAAACCGAGGACGATATTTTCCTGATATAGGGTTTATTACTCAAGTAAGAGTAAAAAGTATCTGATTAGAAGACTACTTGAGTACTGAGTATCATCTGATCTAATATTTTTAAAATGATGACATCAAACAGACATAAAATAAGAAGTTATGGGCAAATATTGGTATTTTAAAGACTAAAGGGAAAAAATGTAAACAAATAAACAACATAATTACAAAATAACACATTTTAGGCTAAATTTAGACACAAACTGAGGACAATATTTCCTGACATACAGGGTTTATTTAATTGTGTGAAAATGTAACACGTTTAAAAAAAATACCGCGATAATACCGAAAACCGTGGTAATTTTGGTCACAATAACCGTGAGGTTAAATTTTCACACCGTGACAACCCTAATACAGACCATTTTAGATTAGGTTACATTTCCTTTATTCCCAGATTATGTAGTTTGTAGCACTCATTATAATGTTGTAGAAAATTTCTGGCCAATCCACGTGATCGGTATCGGTGATCGGTATCGGTGATCAGCATTCTTTGATATCGGTATCGGTGATCGGCAGCAAAAAACCTGATCGGTGCATCCCTAATAAATATCAAAAATATATTAAAACTGGCCCGCTGGCCGATTTTACCGCAAAGACTTCAACTCCCATGATGCTTTGCGGCGTTAGCGCGGAGCCGACGCGCCCCCTCCTTTGTGTTTTTTCCAGCGTCTGCTGCCGGTGTGCAGCTCCGCTGTCTCGGACAAACTACACTCCTCTCACTCAGCGCCGAGTTCACTCAGCTGTTTTCTGACGTTGAAGCCCAGAAACGGAGATTCTAGCCGCTCAGTAATGTGTTCACGACTGAAAGAGAAAGTTTTCCAACTAACGTCCAGACAGAGCTGATATAACTCCAGCGAGCAGCGACACGCTCAAACCAGCACGGCTCTGTGGTTGTGTTTCCTCCCCGACACACAACAACGTGGTCAAGCTGCTCAGACATGTTCATCAGCACAAACCTATGTGAGCACCTGTTGTCATCTAATGTTGTCATTATTATGATGAAGATGAACAAAACAACAGGAGTCTCCTCCTCAGCTCAGATCAACCCCATGATGCAGGTATCTGGCTGGAACAGGTGAGCATCACAGTAAACCAGTGGAGCAAACTGAGCTTTAAATATGTTGGTTTTATGCTCTTTTTCTGCTCCAAAACATGAAAGTTAACAGGTGAGATGTTGCATCTTCATTTAAGATAAAATGGTATTTTTATGTTGTTGTTGGCCCGTGAGAAAAGATTTAACCTACAGTAAACAGGAAGTGGAAAGGCTGCAGACAGATGAATAGAATAGAAAATTCCTTTATTGTTCCTCAGTGGGGAAAGCTAGACGTCACAGCAGCGATGACACGTATTACAGGAGAAAAAAGGAGAATAAAAAATAAGAAAAATGAATAAACAAGAAAACATAAATCCTGAATAGATTTAAAAATGCTGATTATACCACAAGTAATGAATACCACTGATGCCTTTTATTTAAAACTGACTTGCTCGTGTGTCATTTGGTTATTCCACATTCAGTGTTAATGCAGAAATATGTTTGTTTCCAAATTTAAAGGTTCAAAATTGCATACATGTTGATAAAGAAAATGTGCAAATTTGCCGTCACTTTTTCAAAAAATATTAAGTTTGGCCCTCGACTCCGTCCCAGAGTTTCATTTCGGCCCCGTGTGAGAATGAGTTTGACACCCCTGCACTAAATTGTAGGTTTGATTTAGAGTGGGAATATTTTTTTTATCTCAGTGTGTCCCCATCCCTAAACTGACGACCTGTTCAGGGTGATCCCTTCTCTTGCCCAATGACTTTTGGGCCACCAGCTCCCCGTGACCCTTAGTTGAAATTAGGGATGATCCGATCCGATCACGTGATCGGAAATCGGAATCGGTGGGCGGATTTAACCATAAAAAACAACAAACCTTACTTTTAAAATTCATCCTGAGACAGAAGTTTTCAAACGAAAACACAATGGCTTAGCTTTAAATCAACAAGTTCCTCTACATCAGGGATTCCCAAAGTGTGGTGCACGCACCCCTGGGGGTGCGCGAGGTGACAAGTGTAATGGCTGCGGAGCTCAGAGAAGCCTGTCATGTGTCACCATTAACGTAGCCAGAAACTCATTTGTGGGTGGGCCTAAGAAAAAGTAATTGAAAACAAGTATATTTTGCTTGTGTGTGTGTGTGTGTGTGTGTGTGTGTGTGTGTGTGTGTGTGTGTGTGTGTGTGTGTGTGTGTGTGTGTGTGTGTGTGTGTGTGTGTGTGTGTGTGTCTGTCCTCTGCACATGCCCTAGCTCAGGGGTCGGCAAACGCGGCTCTGGAGCCGCATGCGGCTCTTCCGTCCATCTGATGCGGCTCTCTGTGCTTGTAAAATAATGAATGGATATTTAAATAAAATGCTTTATATTTTACTGCATTAATTTTATATCTGTAAGCCAATTCTAAATGTAAAGATTGTCTGCGTAAACCTGAACAGGTCCAACCCGGTCTACTGTGTGACCAGGTTGACACGTCACGCTTGTACATAATCATATCGGCGCTTCCTGAGCTGAAGAGGATGTGAGATTCTGGGATTCTCCTCAGACGGCTCCTGGATGTGTCGCCACATTGGAGACAGGAACAAGCGCTATTCAGCCAAAGTTTCATCATCAGGGAACATTTTCTAAGTGACAAGTCTCGCTTCAGTCGGAGGAATCTTCCCGCATGCGCTCTGGTTCTGCAACGCGCTCCAAGCCCCTCTCCACATCTTCAGCTCGCTGTGCACCGTATGTACGCGCTGACAGTGAGCTGCGCTGAGCAGTGTCCAGCTCAGATGTTCAGAAGGAAATCTTTTCTTGGGTGATTTAGCTACATCTGCGATGTGCTTAACGAATAAAGTGTCAGTTCGTCTGCATGCGTCGGGGTAATTCTTTCTATTCTTTCTCCGTCAAAATAAGCGGTCAAACACGGGAACTGTCCGGTCAACACAAGCCCTGCTTTTAACGGTTCTGTTTTCTTGTGAAAATTGTTGCAAAGAGATCAAATTAAACTTGATTACCACCAGAGCCAGGCGCACTGCGCCGTTATCTCCGTCACTGTAAATGAGGGAAAATAAAATGATCGGATCCTTTTCTGACCTTCCCCACCTACAAAGTTTAATTACAACAATCAAACGTGACAGAGCCTGGATTTGTATTCTGAACAGTCTAAACATGTTTTAAAAAGAAACGTATTACAAAAGTGGCACCTGCTCAGTAAAACCACCAACAGGGTGAAAAATATCTAAATGTTGTCGGCAGAGACGGGCTACAACTTCTGGATCCACTTTATATAAATCGTTTTATTGATTATCGTCTTATGAAAGATAACTTTGACGTACACGAGCAACCGGTACCAGCTGCTGTCACCTGTTGTGATTGGTTAAAGCAGCGCTCTGCTGTCTGAGGGTAGGCCCCGCCCACAACGCCGCGGCTGCTGCAGTGTTTTCTTTACTGTGGGAAACGGGTAATAATGGCTCTTTGATGGGAACAGGTTGCCGACCCCTGGTTTAGCGTGACGTCTGATATATATATATATATAGTCATGCCCTGATGTGGGGCTGGGGGGTGCGTCAACATGGTCGGGACATAGAAGGGGGTGCACGGCTAATTAAGTTTGGGAACCACTGCTCTACATCAGTACTCTTTGTTTCACAGACATCAATGCCGTGAGTCCCAAAATTTAAGGTACACCAGGTATTCACGCACCATAGCATGTAGCAGTTAGCTAACACAGAGCATACTTGTCACCTCAAGAGAGAGAAAATGTCTGTAACTCGGATATATTTCTAAATGAACAGCAAAAGGAGTGTGATGGGTGCAAACCGGTCATTTAATGAGGTGGAAAAGGTCGTGCTGCATTCAACACTGATGCGCCACCTTAAAAACAACAGACCCTGCTCAGTTTGCTGCAGCAATTCAGCTAAGCAAGCCGACAAGAAATGATAACTTACGAAACCGAAAAATAGTCTTCGGACAGCAAAAATGCCAAGCTGTCAGCAGGACGAGTGTCTGTGGTTGCAGACGTTGGTTTGCAGCGTGCTTGAGTCGCGGTGTGATCTGCTTTCTCTTCCTACATTCACAGACGCAGCAGCTCTACAGGTGTTTTGTAGAAAAAAGTGACTCTGCGGTTCACGGTCATGTGCCGTGCTTCCCTGTTGCTAAAAACAGCCGGCACACTGAGTAAATGACATCAAATATGAGCAACAAGGCTACTTTTACATGTATTCTTACAGAAAACCTAGAATCTGAACACTTTTTTCTTGTTGTTGAATAAAGGCCGCTTGGGGAGTCAAAAGTAGCATGCTGAACAGGTCAAAGCCGTGTGTGACCAACTTCTGATGTAAACTAGAAAGTTGAAAAGGGCAAGAGAAAAACTCCTGCTTTGAAAAAACATTCCTCAACACGTCATAACGGAGAGCCCCTCCTCCTCACACCTGTATGCCCCCAGTGTCTGAGGCCTTCTGGGGAAACCAACCAATCAGCAAGCAGCTTATTATCATATTCATATCCTAGCCAAGTCGGCGGGGTCAACAGCTCTTTTCACAGTAAGGTTGGTGTAGGGGGGTTAGAATGGCCTGTATCAGGAATCCTGGAAGCCAAAAGAACATGTCTTCCGCTTTTCTAAGCTCTGTTTTAGATTAGCTGCATTCTAGGTCCTCTTTAACATGTTTGTTATTCATTTAAATGGTAAAGGAGAATTTTTTCTTACATTTATTATATAATATTAACACGTTCCTTATTATTTGTACTTCCTAGACAAATGATGTTTTATGGAAAATAAACTAAAAAAATTACATAAATACAGAAAGGAAGAAACGCATCGATGATTAAAAATGACTTTAGTGTGTTCTCCTTTCTTCTCAACCCTTAC